AAGCCAAAGCACAGAGATTTCTTCAACAGCCATAGACTGCAGGGGTATCTGCTTCCAAAAGTCTTTATAGCAATTTAAGAGTGCTGGACAGCATCCTGAGGGCGGGCCACCCACACTCTAGCTCCAAGCTAACAAGAGGAGGTCTCCAGCCTAGAGGCGGGGTTTCCATTTCTAGCCGTGATGGACTAGCTGCTTTTACCATCCTCTCACCAAAGATACTTTAAATTAAATAGGCACACACACCTGAATCTGTGGGCAGACTCAGGGGGCAAAGAAGGTAGCCAAGACCCTCAAAGAAGCAAAATGAATTGTGACCCTCACTACTGTTTCCCCTCAGCAAATTTGCTGATTCTTAGTACCAAGCATGCATGTTATCTCAGGCCCTTCACTGAAATGAAATTGGGAGTCTAGTTTTTCTTTTCTTTTCTTTTTTTTTTTCGGATAATTGCCATGAAATATAAGATGGAGAAGAAATAGAATGGGACCGTGATGCATATCTGAATCCCAGAAAACAAAATGCAGGAGGAAGTGGGATTTGGCCAGGGACAGCCACTGGTCTGCAGACCTGACAAAAATCTTGTAACCCAAAACACCACATAAAAGATGGCCCAGCAAAGGAATCCTGCATTAGGTAGAAATCGCCAGTCATCAGCAGAGGTATCCTGCCAAGGGGACCTTACTTAGCTCTAGGCTATTGTATTTAATGGCCGCTTTATATTCCATGGACTGGGAACTATCACTAATTTAACACTTCCTCTACTGATGGCTATTCTATTTGTCTCTGGATTGTTTTCTGCTGTGCACCACACTGCAATAAATGTTCTAGAATGTGTATCTTTACATGCTAAAGATTTTATCCTATGAGAGAATTTCCAGGTCAAAGAATAAATGTAGTTTTAAATTTAATATATGTTGCCCCCACCCCTGCTGTGCCATCCCCAAACTGTAACATTTTATATAATTCCCCTTAAAAATGTGTAAGTACTCCTATACCCACGTCACTGCTAGTTCCTTTTCCTAATTTTTAAGTTTTTAAAGATTTGCTAGTCTAATAGACGTAAAGGAATATGTATTTTCATTTTAATTGGCATTTTCTTAACATTAATGAGTTTGGTTATCTTTTCCTATTTCTTGGCCTTTTGAATATACTGCTTTGTGAATTGCTTATTTGTGTCTTTAAACATTGTTCTATTGGTTTGTCTTCATTTTCAATTTAATGTTTTAATTTCTAAATATGCATTTATCTATATTATCTATTTATATGAAGACAAAGTGACAAATTGAGAGGGAGAGACAGAGACAGAGAGATCTTCCACCCATTGGTCACTCCCCAGATGGCCATAACACCCCAGGATCAGCCAGACCAAAGCCAGGAGCCAGGAACTCCATCCTTGTCTCCCACATGGGTGCAGGGGCCCAAGCACTTGGGCCATCTTCTGCTGCTTTCCCAGAAGCACCAGCAGGAAGCTGGATTGGAAGTGGAGCAGCCAGGACAGGAAGCAGCACTCTGATAAGGCATGCTGGCTTTGCAAACAGCAGAGCAAACCACTGTACCACAATGCCAGACCTCTTTCATGTAAACTTCAATATCATTTTAGCCAATTCAAACTTTGGATTCTAGTTGTTGGTACTTTAAAGTTGCATTGCACAAATTTTTGGAGAAGTTCCATTTTTGTGATAAGAAATATTCTCATCTGATAACATGATTTGTTTTCATTGATCCAGACATTTTTATTTCCTTTTGGGAGATTTTTATAGTTTTTCCTTAGAGATATTATGCCTTTCTTGCTACATTTATTCCTAAACAGTTTATAGTGTTTTTCATTATTGTAAATGGAGCGTTTCTTTTTTCCCTTTTTTTAAAAGATTGATTTATTTATTTGAATGGCAGAGTTTGCAGAGAGAGAAAGATCTTCCATCCTCTGATTCACTCCCCAAGTGGTCACAGTGGCCTGAACTGGGCCAGTCGGAAGCCAGGAGCCAGGAGCTTCTTTCTGGTCTCCCACATGGGTGCAGGGGCCCAAGGACTTGGGCCATGTCCCACTGCTTTCCCAGGCCATAGCAGAGAGCTAGATCAGAAGTGGAGCAGCCGGGACTTGAACCGGCACCCATGGGGGATGCCAGCACTGCAGGCAACAGCTTTACTTGCTACACCATAATGCCAGCCCCAAAGTTTTTAGTTTTTTTTCTTTTTTCTTATTTCCATGCTTAGGTTTTATTGTTAGATTGTATTAAACTATTAATTTTGTATGTTTAGCATATGTCTGTCAATTTACCAAGTTTTAAAACTAATTTGAGTAGTTTTTGTTTTAGTATAATTTTTTCGATTCCCAGTATACAACCAGTCCTTTATAACCATAGCTTTATTTCTGTTTCACCACATCTATGCAAGTTACTTGGCTTTCTTATCTTACTGAGTTCACTAAAAGTCTCTAAGCCAGTGTACAAGTATCATTTTATTATAGGCAGACCTTTCTAGTTGCTGACTTTATTCTCAATGATTTGAATATTTTCCTAATTAGGATTTAATATTTTAACATTTGCTGTTGGCCTTTGTTAAATAATCTATATTTATGTTTTTTCTTCCTTTCTATTTTACATAAAAATTTTATTAGAAATTACTGTTGTGTTTTGCAAATACCTCTTAAGTATCTATTGATGTGATTAATTTGTTGAGGTAATGGATTGTATCGATAACCTTTTCTTATATTGATCTACTCTTGCCTTCTGCTTGGTCATAGGATGTTATTGTTTTAACATAATGCTAATCTTTTATTTATAATTTTGGCACTTATATTTTCAAGTGAGACTTACATATAAATTTAGTATTATTTTTATTGGCTTTTGTATTAACAGTCATGCTACTCTCCTAAGATGAGTTTTCTGTAAGATGCAAACAGAAAGGTGAGTACCACATGCTCTCTCTTTTATGTGGGAGTGAAAATTTTTAAAAGTAAAAAACCTGAAAAAGAAAGAAATGCCCGTGAATATCAATTTTAAATCTTTGTCAAACACATCTTTAAGACTGATACTCTGCTATAGCTTAATGACCTGTGACTATTTTAAAATTTGCTGTATATAAATGAGATAGACATCTTTTCATAGATTGTTGTGTGTAAGCCTTGCTATTTTCTTTTCTACTTGTTGAGCTGTTTGTTTAGTAGAGCATTAAGCCTTTGACTGTAATGTAAATTAACAAAAATTTAAAGAAGATAAAAATAATTTGAAAAATAGAGGTACAGGAAAAAAATAGTTTTCTGTAGCCGAAAATAGTTTAAATAGTATTAATATTATACATTTTTCAAATCTTTAATCAGTTCCTATAGGATAATTTGTTATTGCTTCAAAGTTTTCTGATCAAAATATCACTGGGAGTCACTTGAGATGAAATTGTAATTTTTTTTTTTTTGACAGGCAGAGTGGACAGTGAGAGAGAGAGACAGACAGAGAGAAAGGTCTTCCTTCTTGTTGGTTCACCCTCCAATGGCCGGTGCACCGCGCTGATCCGAAGCCAAGAGCCAGGTGCTTCTCCTGGTCTCCCATGCAGGTGCAGGGCCCAAGGACTTGGGCCATCCTCCACTGCACTCCCGGGCCACAGCAGAGAGCTGGCCTGGAAGAAGGGCAACCGGGGCTGGTGTCGGGGCTCAATAGGCTAATCCTCCGCCTTGCGGCACCGGCACACCAGGTTCTAGTCCCGGTCGGGGCGCCGGATTCTGTCCCGGTTGCTCCTCTTCCAGGCCAGCTCTCTGCTGTGGCCCGGGAGTGCAGTGAAGGATGGCCCAAGTGCTTGGGCCCTGCACCCCTTAGGAGACCAGGAGAAGCACCTGGCTCCTGGCTTCCGATCAGCGCGGTGCGCTGGCCATTGGAGGGTGAACCTACGGCAAAGGAAGACCTTTCTCTCTCTCTCTCACTGTCCACTCTGCCTGTAAAAAAAAAAAAAAAAAAAAAAAAAAAAGAGGGGCAACCGGGACAGAATCCGGCGCCCAGACCCAGACTAGAACCCGGGGTGCCGGCACCACAAGGCGGAGGATTAGCCTATTGAGGCGCAGCGCCGGCCCGAAATTGTAATCTTTTTGGCATAGAGAAAACAAAGAATTGAGTGAAGATTGGCAGATTTTTGTAACAGGAGGCCTCACAAAAGAAAAACATTCTAGTCACCTCCATAAGCTGCGTGTCTGTGTGTTGGGAGGCACGTGGTAGACAGCCCAGTCTAAGTGAGGGAGTTTGTTTCTTGGAGGGACACCTGTTCCAACTGTAGGGCTTGGGCATCAGTCGCCACAGCTTGTAAGAGGGGATGGAGAGGCTGCCTTAACCTGTCATTCCGTAAGACCAAAGAAGTGCGCGTGGAGGTGACCGCCAGCTTCCTCATTCGCTCCGGTAAGTGAATTCACTCCATCTGCAAGCCACATAGGACATCGGCCCAATAAAACTTACTCATTTTTATGAACCTCCCTGCTACTCCACGGAAAACTGACTTGAAGGCAAATCACTTCTTTATAACCCAATGACTTCATCCATCTCAATGGGGGAGTTTTAGATATTCAGTAAGTATTTATTGATGGTGAAATGTAGAAGACAGGTAAAAGGGGGAAGAAGCAAGAATCACCTTACATTATTCCTCTTTTATGTCCAGTATCTGCATTTTTTAGAGGTGATTTTCAATCTGAAGGTCAGCTTTATTAAAATGTTCCAGAGCTGGTATATATTTTAATTATGGCTATTTCTATTTTAGCCTCCCATTGTATTTTAAGTCCTCTCAATCTCAGCTTACTACTAAATAGTCTAAAGGCCAAGCATAATGTAGACTTGCAGCAAATTATACTTCCTCAATTGCACTCTCAACACTCCTCAATCACCTCTCTCCGAGGGCTGCCGTTCCCAGTAATGACCCATTTCATAGTCCTTTCTGTCCGATCCGCACCCAGCCTATTCACGGCCGGCGTTCAGAAAATGGCTCAATTAGAACCGGCTTTCGGATGTTTCTGCTGGATATTTGGAGTTGGGAGGGGGTGGGGAAGCAGAAAAATGTGTGTCTCTCTTCACCTCAAGAAAGTTCATGTGTAATTGTGATGAGTGATTTTCTCTTAGAACTGGACACGTGGAGGGGAACCGAAGGCGTCACCGGTGGTTAGGGCTTGCCCCTGCTAAGGCAAAGGCGCGTAAATGACTCCATAAATAACCAGATGTGGAAATGTCGGAAGAGAAAGAACGGGGTAATCTGGCCTCTGGGTATGTGTCTTTGTGAGGTTATCCCGACTTTTCCTTTCGAGAAAGCACATGGATAGAGGTTGGAAGCTCAGATGACAACAGGCAGTGTTGGGTCAGGAAGAAGTGTGTCTGCATTGATAACAAGGAGTTTTCTGTGTGTCCACTCCGGCATCTCACCTTCTGAAATGAGAAGAAAAACTGTTTCTAGCCAGAATACGACCAGCCTCTTCTGCCCGCCCCCCGACCACCACTGGACACCAAAGCTGTTCATGCCTAATTGGTGATGCGTATGGAAATTCAATAAGGATTTGGATCCATGGGACTGACACTCTATTAGCGCTGGCTTTATGTGACTTGAATAACTTTTAGGATCTGAAACTTGGAAGCATGTCTTATCTGTGTCACCGAAGGTACCAAAGTAAAATAGATGAGCTAGGTATGCTGTGTAGCACCACCAATGAGAACATGGGCATTGCCATAAATCCAGAAAACCACAGATGCTGTGGCTGTTAAATCCACAAGAAGACCAAGCATGGCCCATTAAGTACTTTTGTGAGACAATGGTTTGGTTATGTTGAAAACACCTTGTCTTAGCTTGCAAATACTGAGTTCTGACTGTGGCATTTCATAGCGCTCCCACGACGGGGCCAATATTGTAAGGGCATGCTTTTTTCCAGAAGACTCTGGGAGGTAATCCCCAATCGCCTTTTACATTTTTTCACCTTCTGTTCTGACTCCTTTCTCCAATTACTGCATTATCTTGGCCTTGCAGGGCCTAGGACCTCCAGCTTTCCACTGAGGCATGTCGCCTGGTCTAGCAAGCGTTTCCCTTCCCTTGTATATTGTTGGTAGGAAAGTGACTTGCTGATTTCTGATAAAACTATTGAAAAGAAGGTTTGATGTGCCTTTTCCTATGTGGTCTTACACTTGTAAAAGGAACTTCTAGAAATATCCATGTCAACTCAAGGGAAGAGCCTTCTATTCTTAGAAACTTTTTTTTTTTTTTTTTTTGGACAGGCAGAGTTAGGCAGAGAGAAAGAGAGACAGAGAAAGGTCTTCCTTCTGTTGGTTCACCCTCCAAATGGCCACTATGGCCGGAGCTACACCTATCCAAAGCCAGGAGCCAGGTGCTTCCTCCTGGTCTCCCATGGGGTGCAGGGCCCAAGCACTTGGGCCATCCTCCACTGCACTCCCTGGCCACAGCAGAGAGCTGGACTGGAAGAGGAGCAACCTGGACAGAATTCGGTGCCCCGACAGGGACTAGAACCCGGGCGGAGGATTAGCCTATTGAGCTGCGGCGCCGGCCATAGCTGAAATTCTTGACGAGTTACTGCCTGCCCCATCTCGTTCTAAGTCTCTGGACTCCAGTGACAGACAAGCCAAGGATAAGGCTTCGTGAACACTGCCGATCCCAGCAGGAGGGCCTTGCACTTGGCACCCTCACATTCTTCCTGGGCATCCTGCAGCTCCCTGGTCTCCCTGCCCCTGGTCTGGGCTTTCCTTCCAATCCATCGCCCATGCTCCCACTGTTCCTTGAAAAGGCTGAATCTTGTCCCATCCCCTGTCTGCTCAGAACCTTCCATACCGTCCTGCACGGTCGAGCAGCAGCTCTTGGCTTCTCGAAGCTGATCCCGTCCTGTTCACCCCAGTCGTTCTAAGTGACTGCACTTCCCACGGTGGCCTCACTCTCGTGCCTGTGCCTTCTCTGTTACTTTTCAGCTTTTCTTCTTCCCTGTGGCTTTCCCTGGTGTGCACATCTCCCAGAATCAAATACAAGCTGTCACCACTTCCTGGAATACAAATGCAATTCACAAAGTTCATGGAAAACGGAATTAAAAAATGGTGTAGGTTTTCTGTGCACATTCCCAAGTACCCTCATAGTTTCCCACACTTACATGTCTGCTCTTAGGAGACTGCTGGTCACTGAGTTTGGTTCCGGTGCCTCATATCCATCCCAGAGTGGCCCACTCCTTAGCTCTGCAATATAAGAATTACACGGGACTTAGGATCCTAGAACACCTTGACCCCGTTCCTCACGGGGACCCTGACTGTGGGCCCCAATGACACTGCCTCTTTCTTACTTCCAGTCTGAGGGGTGCAGCTGCCCCGCTCTGTGGATAAGCTCAGGGTCACGTCCCCATCCTGCTTAGCTTCTCAGCACTTGAGTCCACTTTATAAGGAACTACCTGTATGGATTTTTCCTGCTGAAAGACCCGGAGTGCTTCCGTTTTCCAAGTAGAGCTTGATTTGGGGTTTGGTTTCTTCGTGTGTTCTGCTCGTAAATTTTTTTCCCTTTATAAAGACCCCTATATTAATGGCCATGAATACACTTTGCAGTGTAAAAACTAGTGCAAAAGAAGGCACTATGGAAAGAAACACCGTTGTTAGAGCAAATAACCAAGATGGGCCTGCGGCTACTTCAGGTTGATCAAGTGCTTGCAGCTGGAGATCCAGCATTGCCAGGAGCCAGGTTTCAATAGATGATGAGGCCGGCGCCGCGGCTCACTAGGCTAATCCTCCACCTGCAGCGCCGGCACACCGGGTTCTAGTCCCGGTCGGGGCGCCGGATTCTGTCCCGGTTGCCCCTCTTCCAGGCCAGCTCTCTGCTGTGGCCTGGGAGTGCAGTGGAGGATGGCCCAAGTGCTTGGGCCCTGCACCCCATGGGAGACCAGGAGAAGCACCTGGCTCCTGCCATCGGATCAGCGCGGTGCGCCGGCTGCGGCGGCCATTGGAGGGTGAACCAACGGCAAAGGAAGACCTTTCTCTCTGTCTCTCTCTCTGTCCACTCTGCCTGTCAAAAAAAAAAAAATAGATAATGAAGACAGAAGGAGCCACGCTCTATTCTTCTTCTGGAGAATTCATAATCAAGGCCAGTTTCTCAGCAGACACCTGGATTAGTCATCTTTATGCCACTTTAACAGCTGAGAGACGCTTCTTGGAGGAAGATTTTTTCAGCTTAGTTCTGGAGGTTCACATGCAAGACCGGGCAGCAGGTGCAGTGTGGTGTCTGCTGAGGGTGGAGTGTGTGCAGTGGGAGGACCACATGGTGAGCCAGGACTTTGAGAGGAAGAGCAGCTAGAGCCGACCCAGGCTTGCATAACTGACCCTCACCTGAGAATTGCTGCCCAAGGCCTAAAGGCCTCCCACTGGGCCCACCTCCTGGACACCATAATCAGAGCAAGTTCCTACCCTTAACCCATTGACCATTGACATCAGTTTGTTAGTGTTACCGTGAGACTGGGGACAAAGCTCCCAATACCCAGCCTTTGGGGGAGCACTCCCTCAGCTGTCCAAATCACAGCACCACCCCTCTCAGCTTGTCTCCCCCACAAGTCTTCTCCTTCTCCCCTCCCCCACCTTTATCCCACCTCCTCCTTCCCTCATGCCCCATTCCCACCTGTCCCTTTGCATACCGACTGCAGACCCACTAGTGAGCGAGATGTGCTCCGAGTCGCGGAAGGGAGCGTCATGATTGCTTTACTTTCTCCCTCCCGCCCTGAGCTCATTACTGAACATCGACTTAACCATGAGTTGGTAGCCAGGCCAGCAGGGGATTCAGAGTTGTCGATGGACAGGGGTGGCCCCTTTCCCCACGAAATGTAAACAGTGTCTGATTGGCCTCAGCCTGGGTCTGAGCGCCTGTGTGTTCTCTCTCTCTTTCCTTTTTCTCTCCTCCTTCCTTATCTCTTTTCTTCACCCTCCTTTCTCCTCTCTCTTTATCTTTCTGTTTGCTCCTCTCCCCTTCCTCCTCCTCTCTGCCCCCCCCACCTTAGCATTCCAAATCAAAACCAAATCAAAACCAAAGGCAATAAAGAATGAAATGACTGTCACTCCCCCCTCCCTCTGCAAAGTGGGGAGAAGGGCATGTCTGCAGTGCCCGCCTGCTAACAAAGGGAAAGGTGGTCAGAAGCTCCTCTCTTTCAAGAAACCTGGCCGCCGCCCGCCGCCATCCTGTCTTAGAATGAGAGATCACAGACATCCACAACAAAAACAGCCGATCCAGCGCCGTCCCTGAAATGCACATTCCCTAATTGCTAATGTTTCCTTTTTGATAACTAAAAAGACCGTGCACATTAAATAAAAGGAGATTTAATTTCTAGTTTAAATACAGCTGCTGCGATTCTTACGCACCGCACAGCTGTTCGGAGGCTGGCACTGGGCCACATCGCAGCGGCTCCGTCACGTCTGTCCGCATTGTCTTCCTGACACACGCACACAGAACATCTTTGAGTGTTTGGGAAATATTTGTATTCATTCTCAGGTCTGCACTGCATCACGGAGGGATGGGCTTTGCCAGCCCACACCTCTGAGCACTTTGCACCTGTCAAACCGTTTTTCTTTCTCTCCCTCCGGCGGTATCTTTTTTGTGGAAGAAAATAATTTGTTTTACCGTTTCTTTTCCAGTTCTGGGGAGGGACAGACCCAATAGAATACAATATTTCTTCGTCTTCCTAAGAAAAAAGATTTTTTTTTTAAGAAAAAGGACTGGTCACATGTTTTTATTTTGAAAACCACGAGAGCAAAATTTGGGGTTGGAGCCTTAAAGAGACGTCGTCAGCCCGGGTCTGTGTCTTGCAGGGTGGAGAGGAAATTGCTACCAACTGATGTGTCAGTCTCAATTCATTTCAGGATGGAAATAATCTCGGAGGATACCGGGGGAAGGCAGAAAGATTAAAGTCTTCAAGGACATTCTGACCACTTACTTTAATTTAGTAGCTCTCCCAACAGGAAGCCTGAACTATTCCTGCTCGCATTCAATAACAGAATTGCTGCTAGTGGATCCCCGCGAGTGTCCTCGTGTCCTGTGAGGGCTGCACCTTGGGAAGCACCCAGCAGCCGCATTCGCCTTGTAGTGAACACAGCCCGGCCCCAGTGCCACCCTCCTGGGCGCCCCCGCCTCCTGGTGGCGATCCCCATGAATCCCTACATGCAGTCGCCAACCTTTGGCCTGCAGTCTCCGGCCCGGGGTCCCTGAATGTAGAATGGCCTTCCTGGAGCAGGCTGCAGAGTGGGCATGGGGAGGCTTCATGATCTAGGAAGAGGCGAGAGAACCGTCCCTTGGGAGGCGAACGTGACCATCTCGGTCTCCCTTCGCCCTAGCAATGTCACCCATCAGGTCGACTCCCCACAGGCAAACTGTTATGTTACATACAGGAAGCTGCATGTTCCCTGGGGCTCTGTAACAACAGAGCCTAGCGTGAGTGGCACAAGCAACGGAGACTGGGAAAGTCCAAGACCCAGGTGTGGGCAGGTTGGTTTTCCTGGGGCCTCTCTTGGCTTGGAGACAGCTGTCGTCTTTGTGTCTTCAAATAGTCATACTCTGTGTGTGTCTGTTTCCTAATCTCTTCTTATAAGGACACTGGTCATGTTGGAGTAGGGCCTACCCCAATGACCTCAGTTCAAGTTGAATTCCCCTATAAAGGGCCTCTCTCCACAAACAGTCACCTTCTGGGACATTGGGATTAGGGCTTCAATGTATGAATCTGGGGTCACGATTCAGCTCATAACAAATACAGGCTGAGCTTGTGTGGGGTTGAGCGTAGTGGTGAGCTCCCAGATGGAGTGCAGGTCCAGTCCCCTCAAGGGCAAGTGACATAGCTGGGATACAGCCCCCAGCTGTTGACATGGCCTGCTTCCCCCTGAGCAGACTGAGTAGCAGTGAGTCGGGCCAGGGATAAAGGACTGAACAGAGCCCGGGATGGGGCCTTCAGAGCCAGGGCAATCTTTCATGAGCTCATCTGATGCCCTGGAAGAACCAGTTCACTTCTCTGTGAGAGGAGGGGCCCAGCCCATGGGCCTTCAGAAGTTCTTAACACCCTCTGAGTTTACCAACACAGGAAGAACATGGAGTGTAGCGGACCACGGCAAGAGGGCGGCGTCTGGACCCTTACCTATCTTCATCGTTAAAGTTTTATTGGAACACTCATTCATTTACATTATCTGGTCGCTCCCACAGCAGCTGTGTAGCCATGTCGGAGCCCGCATGGCCCAGAAATCCTAAACTATTTACGATCCGGCCCTTTACAGAAAAGATCTGCCCACCTCTGGACTGGAGCCCTAAAAGAATACTCACATACTGGGTTTCGTGGGGAGGGCTGCCGTTTTGTTGGCAAAACTGCCTTATTAATGTATCATGGAACGCCCACTCATTCGCCATCGTGTGCCGGGGTGGCTTTGAGTCTGTGCAGGTGAAAACTAAAAGTTCAGGGGCCACAGTCCTCAGTCGTACGCCCAGAGACTCACAGCCATGCGCACTTTCTCCCATCCCTGTCAACCTGACAGGGTACAAATGGAGTCGCGTTCGGGAGAGGAATAAGCATCCACAAGGGTGAGAGCAGATGGCTGGTAAACACAGGGCGTGAGCACGTACCACTCACCCTGCCTGCAAACCAAGGGCTGGAACTAGATGCCGGCTACAACAACAAAACCCCACTACGCAAGGCAGAGTCTAACCTGTGTCCTGAACAAACAACATGTTTAAAAAAGTGTTAATAAACTAGTCATTCTACTTTTCTTAATTACCATAGTTTTTAAAAAATGTTTTTTAATGCCCAATGGAGTAACATTTTAGGTCATGTTCCTAGCTGTGTCTTGGGAGAAGACAAGGCAAAGGGAGCGAGATGGGGAGAGGATCAAAGGGGGATGGGAGAGTGAGGGGTTTGCTTCTGCGTCTATCGACTGTGTTCTCAGAGGGCCAGCCTTGTGGCAGTAACCTCCCTTTGTAGGAGCTAAATGGCCGAACATGTGTTGACGGAGAGCTACACAAATCCAGGAAAGTCTTTCAAGTCTTAATTACCCACATGGCCTCTATAGGTACCCAGTGTCTCGTGCAGAACAATGCATTAGAGGGACTCTGCTCATGCCCTACAGACTTCTTGGCCAAATTCTCCATCCTTCTGATGTGTCGCTTCTTAAAAAAGCCACCTACCATCAGCCATCAAGATGGGATGCTGCCTCCTCGCCCTGCCCACCTCTTACGCCTGTGACGATGGTCTTTCTCCTGCAGGCCCCCTGCTGTGCCCTCCCACACTCTGGGTCCATTTTATGCAGCAGTCTGCCTGGTGATGTCTCCTGTGCCTGCTTCACCTCCCCTACAAGCCCCTAAGTGGCTTGCAAATGGGAGCAGCGCATGACTGACATCCGTCGCTCATGGAGTGCTGACTCAGCACCTTGTGCATGGTGGCTTCTTACTCTCACATTTGGAGGTCAGCCCTAGATGGTCTGTGCCACCTGGAGCTGTGAGTGTGTGTTCCCGGCCCTGGAGGTGAGGTGGCCTCTGCTGTGTGCTTAGTGTTCCCAGTGCTGCCTTTTGGTTTTCACTACTTCATTTCATGTGCCTACTCTCCTTGCCATACTGCAAGTCTTGGCGAGGCTGGGGTGGCCCGTGTCTTGGCCCTGGAGCCTGACATGCAGTAATGTTTGCCCAACAGACAATAATAATTAATGTTTAGATGAATACTGGGAGCTCCCCGAATGCCTCGACCAGGGCTAGGTGTGGCCTCGCTCCCATCCCTTTCTCATAGCTTCCTGAGATAGAGCTGGACTAGTGAAAGAGCTTACGATCAACCAGGCCATGCCCAACAGGGAGCTCTACTTCCTAAACAAAGGAAGGGAGGAAAGCAGGGAGGGAGGGAGGGAAAGAAGGAGGGAGTGAGGGAGGGAAGGAGAGAGGGAGGGAAGGAAAGAAGGAGGGAGGGAGGGAGGGAAAGAGGGAGGGAAGGAGGGAGGGAAAGAAGGAGGGAGTGAGGGAGGGAAGGAGGGAGGGAAAGAAGGAGGGAGTGAGGGAGGAAGGGAGGGAGGGAGGGAAGGAAAGAAGGAGGGAGGGAGGGAGGGAAAGAGGGAGGGAAGGAGGGAGGGAAAGAAGGAGGGAGTGAGGGAGGAAGGGAGGGAGGGAGGGAAGGAAAGAAGGAGGGAGGGAGGGAGGGAGGAAGGGAGGGAAAGAAAAAGGGAGTGAGGGAGGGAGGAAGGGAGGGAAAGAAGGAGGGAGGGAGGGAGGGAGGGAGGGAAAGAAGGAGGGAGTGAGGGAGGAAGGGAGGGAGGGAGGAAGGAAAGAAGGGAAGGAGGGAGAGAGGGGAAGAAGGAGGGAGGGAGGAGGGAGCAAGATGTTGGGCCACCAGCCTGTTTTACTACAACAGTGACCACACACGCGCACACAGTATGGGTAGTGCCCAGGCAATTGTCATGGGGCCAACACAATACAACTGTTAGAGTAAAGCAGAGATAGACAACAGAGCACAGGCTGAGGTCCAACCAATGCCGTGTGCCCAAGGATGGCCTTGTCAAAGGGGTGACATACCCTGTGCCCACTCGCTTATGCTTCTCTCCAAATGCACCCCCCTAGAGGAAAAACCCTTCCAGTAGACATAGAATTTCTGAGTGTCTCTGGTGTTCTAGAATGTTCTGAGACTTAAGGGATTGTTTTCTCCCTTCAAAGCTAAGAAATAGAACGTAACCTCTTCAGTGCTAGCCTGTCTTGGGCTCCTGGCCTCCACTGCTTCCAAGAGGCCAGTGCCAAACTGGATGGGCACTCCTCATGGTCCCCCATTTTTATGCAGTTCCTGTGAATACCTGCTCGTCACTGCAGAGAGCTTGAACTCTCTGTTGTTGTCAAACGATGTGGGGCCTGCTTTCCGTTTTCTGACCCATGCTCTCTCTGCTGCTCTTGTCCTGTGCTGCCTACAGGGGTTTGGGGCCCCTTGTCCCCTCCCAGGGCACACCCAGCCTCTGGTCATAGCTTCACATTGCCCCCATTCTCTGCTGGGCCTCCCTGGCCTCATCCTTGGTTCACTGGTTGTACCTCCACATTCTGACAAACTCTACCCTGGCACTGCTTTGGGGGTGTCTGTGGTGTTGTCATCGCCAGGTGCTCAGCTGGGAATTTCAGCAGCAGAGCAGCCTGGGAAGAGAATTTCTGGAAACACAACCCCAGTCTCAACACAGCTCAACGTGCATGGCCGCTGGTGGGCTGTGTGATGTCCTTGGGGGTGCTGAACACCGCGGCAGGTGTCTTTGCAGTGGAGCAGCAAAGCTGAGTAGAAACAGGTGAACGTGCTCCCCAGGGCTCTGATGCCTCGCGGTCACTCAGCTCTGTGATGAGATTTGTGGAGCACCTGTTGGGTTCAAGTCTCTGGAACGCCGAGGGCCTCTTAGGAAGTATCAGTCAGGGCCGGCGCTGTGGCGTAGCGGGTAAAGCTGCTGCCTGCGGTGCTGACATTCCATATGGGTGCCAGTTTGAGTCTCAGCTGCTCCAAGTCCAATCCAGCTCTCTGCTAGGGCCTGGAAAAGCAGTAGAAGATGGCCCAGGTCCTTGGGCCCCTGCATACAGCCATCAACAGTGGAGGTGAATTGACACTGTTAGACATGGACACACACACACACACACACAGCCTCACTCTAAACACGTGGACACACCACATGGAGAACACGAAGTGAGGAAGAGAACTGAGGGCCCAAGGGCTGTTAGCCCCTGAGCCATCCATCCTACAAAGAGAGGGCAACCAACCCCCTATTGAATGAAGCCAGGACTCCTCCTGGAACCGGAAGTGTCTCTGGAGGGCACAGGTGTCAGAGCCATGGCTGTGCGTGTCTAGGAGCCGTGCAGAACCTCCCAGCCTGACCTGGGTATCAGCTGTGCAAGGAACAGTGGGCTCTGGGCAAGCTAATGGGAGACGCCGGCCGGCTGCCACGGGGGCTGGAGCTCAGCGAGGAGACGGGCAGCTGGAGTGGCTGTAGTGGAGAAAGCAAGGGGAGATGTGATGAGGCAGGCCCAGCACCGACTTTGATGGCTTTTCACTTCTCTCTCCTTTTCCCTGAAACGTGACAAAGAAAATTGATTTCAGTGCTCCAAGTCCTTTGCAATCACCTCTGGGCCTTAAGTAGTCCTTTCAGAAGTGCATGATTGAACTGGCCACGTGGCAAATGAGAGAGGGAGCAAGGCTGCATCAGGACGGCTGTAGGCAGGCAGAGTGCTCCGGCCATGCATGGCCCCATCAGCCAGGGTCACGTCCTCACCAGGGGCTCTCATCACATGATGTCCACACCTCCCCAGATGTGTTCTGACCGCTGCTGGGGCGCTCATAATAACACAGGATTATTTCCATGAGTAGGTGGGGCAAAGTGCAATGTATTATAATAAAAGGGAAGGCACACCATTTCTGTTTTTTAAGCTCTCAAGTGCCATCACCTCTTCCATGTCCCTCCTTAAATAATGAAATTTCGATTTTGCGGGAGTCCTCCTGCAGCCTGTGGCACGGTCACTCCTGAAACAGGGGTTGGCTGAGTCCCAGTTGCAACAACGTGGCCCAGAATGGACTTCCCGGGCAGCCCCATGCCAACCACACGTGGAGGAGCCTGTGCCCACGCAGTCCCCACCTCTTCCTCCCACTGCCTCCTGCCTGTGTTGTGTGGCCCAGAGCTGAGTCAGGCACTCTCCACCTAGGCCCATCTGCACGCGGGCTGAGTCTGTGCCTACGTCTGTTCTTCTTGCCATGCCAGCCTTTAGTGTACCCTCATGTGGCCTGCCCCATGCTGACTGGAGCCCACCTTCCCACATTTCAACAAGTGGCCCTGGGACTAGTAACTATGTGCCCATCCATGTGTGTGTATGTGCGCATGTGTCCACGTGGCATTTTATTTTATACTTGCCTTCCCTTGTATATTTAAGGTATGAAATGTAGTGGTCTGATATACAAACACAGAATGAAATTATCACTCAAATTCATCTGTCCATCACCTCCAGGTACCCTTCGTGTCTGTGTGTGATAGGAGCCCTGGAAAACTCTCTCAGCAAATTTGCGGTATACAATACTGAGCTAACACTGAGTGTTAGCTAGGTAGATTATTCATTCTGCCTAGCTGAATATGTGCATCCTTTGGCCTTAATCTTCTCATTTCCTCTCTCTCCCCAGCCCTCTTGGTATCAACTATTCTATTGTGTTTCTATTTATCCAACTTTTTCTAAAAAAAAAAAAAAAAAAATCCTCCGTGTGCATGGATGGTACTTTTCTGTGGCACATTTTATTTAGCATAATGTCCTCTGGGTTCATATATGTGGTTGCAAACAGCAAGGTCACCTTCTTTTTGAAGATTGAATATTATTCCATTCCATAGTTGCTTTATCCATTCACCTGTTCTTTTGAAAATAAACAAAGCCCCAAATGTGCAGGTAGTGAGAACACAGGGTGCATCCCTGAGCCATGGACCCCATCCAGGACTCTAAGTGGAGCCCAGGCCAAGGCTCGGCCTCCTGCCTCTTCCTCTGAGTTTCTTCCCACTTTGAGGATCCCCTGGCAAAGGCCTCTGCGTGGTCTGGGGGCAGTGCTGGGGCAGCAAAGAGCTGAGGCTATGCCACTGTGCAGCCCCCCTGGGCACTCTTCATAGGCCGTCCCTGTGTGTGACTCCTTGGGTTCACAGCAAAGCTCATGTCTGTTTTTTGGGTTTTTTTGGTTTTTTTGTTTGTTTGTTTGTTTTTTGTTTTTTTTTTTTTGTTTTTTTTTTTTTTTTTTTTTGACAGGCAGAGTGGACAGTGAGAGAGAGAGAGAGACAGAGAGAAAGGTCTTCCTTTACTGCTGGTTTACCCCCAATGGCTGCTGTGGCCGGCGCACCGTGCTCATCCGAAGCCAGGAGCCAGGTGCTTCTCCTGGTCTCCCATGCAGGTGCAGGGCCCAAGCACTTGGGCCATTCTCCACTGCACTCCCGGGCCACAGCAGAGAGCTGGCCTGGAAGAGGAGCAACCGGGACAGAATCTGGCGCCCCGACTGGGACTAGAACCCGGGATGCTGGCGCCGCAGGCGGAGGATTAGCCTATTGAGCTGCGGCGCCGGCCAAAGCTCATGTCTTGTTGCCTTGCCCAATCTCACTGCCTAGCCTGGACGCCTGAAGGTTCCAGTGTTTACGTTCGACGTAGTCCAGCCCCTTGACAGCGTGGTTTTGGGTTTATGTTGCGTGGTGTGCCTACTCTGTGTTTTATTCCTAATCTGAGCCTCTGTGAAGCCCAGGGACTGTGGGATGGGAGAGGAAATCCAGGCGTGCTGTCTGTGGTTTGAATATGGTTGGGGCACCCTGAAACTGGTGCTGAAATTCAGTCGCCAGTGTGGGGGTGATGGCCGAGTGGGGCCTTTAAGAGGTTGCTAAGAGGGATTAGTGCCTTTACTTGAGGGAGTGGCTTGCGTCCTGCAGGCGTGGGCCAGTCACCATGATAGCAGGCTGTTATCCCGTGAGGACACCGTCATGTTCATCTCTCCTCGCACTCGCTCGCTTTCCCTGCCATCTTCACCATGTAGCTATCTATGCCTTCCCCGAACGCCAGCACCACAATGCCCTTGCACTCCCAGCCTCCAGAACCACAAGCCAAGATTAACTTCTCGACTTTGGAAATCATCTGGTCTCACTCTGTTATGACAACAGAAAACAGAGAGAGAGAGCAGTGGCAACACAAAGGCTTCATGGCACAGACTCTTGAGCTGGTCTCAAGAGAAGTGGGGGATTTAGGGAAGAAGGACTCAGAGGTGAGAAGTTTTTTTTTGGGGGGAAGGAATGATAACTCACAGACCATGAGGAATGAGCCTTCAAGAAACCTCAAACACATTTGGCTGTTAGGTGCTGACTTACTGAAGGATTTGACCCGTGGCTTGGATGGTGCCTTCCGTATCTCCAGCCCTGGCTACTGCCCCCTTTACACTGGTAGAGAAACAAAGTACAAAGCGAAGAACTCCAGAGTGGGCCTCATTTATTGTTGCTGGACTCACATTGCTTCAACACTGGTGCCATTGTGTCACCTGCCTTGTTGAGAAGCTACAGTGACTCCCCACTGCGTGTGGCGTTGGATGCAGCGGCTCAGCTGTCTCTTGGAGCCCAGCACCATTTCCAATACAGTGATTATCTCACTGTTCCTTTCCTGACTCTGCCCAGGATGCTGTCTGTTGCTCTGTAAGTCATAGCCATGCTCCAGCTTCCTGGGTTCAGCTTCATTCCTGCCCCCTTCCCAGGAGTGTTCGTAAACCATAAAAAACTGTTTTTCTTTCCCTGCGCTGAATTTGCAGACTTTCTCTTGATGCATTGCCTTGGGAAACCTGCTAGATGGTCATCCGCATTGCCTGCTACGTTTGTTTGGCCTGTCTCCTTCTGGGTTATGGTTTCAGGCACTGTGGGCAGAATTCTATCTACACAGTTTCCTCACTCTAAGACTCACTCAATCTTTCTTCTTCAAACCGTTTTTCTCCTTTGGACACACTGGCCCAACCGCACCCATCTGGGAGACCATGCTGGAATAAACCAGTGACCGTTAGTGCTATGTCAAAGGTTCTACAGAGCCCTGGGGATGACCAGGTTGAATACTCCCCAAGTGTATCCTGTGATCC